CAGCCAAGAAGCAGACACACAGATGGAATTAGATGTACAATACATTTATTAGGAGAAAAGTGTATAAGAGGAAATGGAGAGAGAGCCAAGAGAGACTGAGAACCATCAGGGCCACATCAGGTCTGATCCTGAGTGAAGGAGAGAGGGAGTGAAGGAAGGAAGGAAGGAAGGAAGGAAGGAAGGAGGGAAGGAAGGGAAGATGGAGGAAAGGAAGGAAGGAAGGAAGGAAGGAAGAAAGGAAGGAAGGAAGGAGGGAAGGAAGGGAAGAAAAGAAAAGAAACAAAGCCCAGCCAGCATGGCTCAGTGGTTGAGCATCAACTTATGAACCAGGAGGTCACAGTTCGATTCCCAGGTTGTGGGCTCGATCCCCAATGGGGGGTATGCAGGAGGCAGTTGATCAATGATTCTCTCTCATCATTAATGTTCCTCTCTCTCTCTCTCTCTCTTTCTCTCTCTCTCTCTTCCTCTCCCTTCCTATCTGAAATCAATAAAAAATACATTTTTTAAAAAGAAAAGAAACAAAGGCTTATCCCAATATTAGATAATAAATTCATAGTTTAAAAATAAAAATAATAATGGTTATGTATAACTGAGAAGTAGAATATTGTTTACAATTTTTCACCAAAGCATCCAATTCCATGTCAACTTAGATCAGTTTCCATCCACATATAGATGATTTATTTTCTGATATTTTCTTTCCAATAAACTTTAAAATCCTAAGTCACAATGTGGATATCAGGAACGGCAATCTATGATGGATCTTTCAGAGACCCCATAACTGAATTAAGCAGAAGATCCAAAACTTGTGGCATGATTTTCACTGAAGATCACTTTCAAAACTCTGTCAGATGCTAAGTCAAGGAACATATCACACATAAGGCTGAAAGAAAGGTTAGCACTTTGAACCAATTCCCACTCCCCTCTTACAGCATCCAAGTCTGACAGCATTTCTTCAGGTTCTCCTACAGCACTTCGATATGATTTTCAAAATACTCCAACAGCACATAATCTTTTTTCTCTTGCTGGAACCAGTGAAGAACATCATCATGGACTGAGGGAAAAATTAAACTCATAGCAATGAAGCCTTTTTTGCTGAAGGTCATTCTCTTTATAACAAATCCCATTATTTTATCCTTAACATTAAAAATCTTGATATGCCAGCTTTCAAGTAATGGATCAGGCTATTTGAGATTCTGATATCACTAAAATACACCACTTGAGCAAACCACTTGAGAATGTTTCAATGACAGAAAACTGTCATTATTAGATCATAAAGAAATATCTTTTATCTCTTCCCTCATTGCAAAATCTTGTGAACACCTTTCCTCTCATCCACAATTCTCTCCCTATCTCCGACATCAATTTTTCCCTTTTTATTAACACATTCCCATCAGCCCAAAACTATGCTATTATTCTGGACTTTGAAAGAAAAATATCTCCAATTTTTCTGATTCCTCTCTTAAACCTCCTTGGTCAGGTTTCTGTACCCACACACTCCATCAAAACCACTCTTGTCAAGATCACAAACTACCTTCCCATTACAGTTACTTGTCAATCCTCCTTCCTCTTGAACGTCAGCAGCACTCGGCTCTGTTGGTCACTACCACCTCTAGGAAGCACCTTCCCTGCTTGGCCTCCTGGACACCACACTCTATGGCAGCCGTGGGCAAACTATGGCCCGCAGGCCGGATCCGGCCCATTTGAAATGAATAAAACTGAAAAAAAAAAAAAGACCGTACCCTTTTATGTAATGATGTTTACTTTGAATTTATATTAGTTCACACAAACACTCCATCCATGCTTTTGTTCCGGCCCTCCGGTCTAGTTTAAGAACCCATTGTGGCCTTCGAGTCAAAAAGTTTGCCCACCCCTGCTCTATGGGGTTCCTCCTGGAGGCACTCTCCTTGCTCTTCCTCAATCTCCTTTGCTCCTCTTACCTGAAGAGGTTTCTCTTTTCTTCAGGGTAGCAGATCTACATCTCCAGCCCAGCTCTCTCCTGAAATCCAGGCCCATATATGTCCCTGTTTGCCTAATAGACACACCATCCCCAAAACTGAAGTCTTGGTCTTCTCTACCCCCAAATCTCTACTCACAGCCTCAGTTAATGGAAGTTCATCTTTCTAGTTGCTCAGGAAAAAAAAAAAATCTTTCAGATTCATCCATGACTCCTCTTACTCTCTCATAACCTACATCCTATCCTTTAGACCATTGGTATACCCAGAATATGACCTCTTCTCTCCACTTCCTCCCTGGTCCAAGCCACCACCATATTTCACTTGGATTATTACAGCCGAGCTCCTTGCTTTCATCCTCCCCTCACTCACAGCCTACAATCTTCACAGAAGCCAGAGTGATCCTTTTAAAATACACCCGATCATATCATATCACTCCTCTGCTCCTACCCTTCAGTGGCTCCCCATCACACTTGGCCAAAGTCCGTACCATGACCTAAAAGACTCCTCAGTCTGGCGCCATGCTCCCCCCCCACCCCGCCCCCCGCATTGCTTTATCCCTCACTCGCTCTGTTTAAGGCACACTGGAGCTCAAATATTTTAGGGATACTCTCACATTACGGCCTTTAAACTAGCTAGTCCCTCTGTATAACACACTCTTCCCCCACATATCAGACATCCCCTATTAAACATCCAGTCTCTGAGGACCCAGCCCTCTTCTCTAGCCAATTATCCTTATCTCGCTACAGTCTTCTTATTTTCTCATAGCACTATGAAGATAATTTACATATTTACTCTGCTCATTATTTATTATTTACTTTCTCCCACTAGAATGTATGTTCCATGGGAAAATAATTTTTAAATCTGATTTGTTCACCACAATATCCCCAGAGAGTAAGAGGAGTAGGTAAGTACTCAAGGAATATCTGTTGTAGAAATTAATAAATTCATGGTAAACTGTACTTTCAGCCATTTCCCCAAACCTGTACACCACATTTAAAATCATAAAAACAAGTGGTTATTAACAATGATTCTAAAAAAGGCTTGACAAGCAAGTGTGATATGGCCTTCAGATTCAGACTTGGACTTGAACCCCTGCTTCATCACTGAACCTACCACCTCTGTGACGTGGGCCTGAGACTGTCTCCATTTAAGAACAATGGAAATCGTGACACCTGACACCCTGATTACTGAAAGGATTGAATGGAATAAGTGTACGAACTTTCTTAGCACAGTGTCTAACATACAATAGTTGTTCATTCAATGTTAGAAGATAAATCTGCCTTTTCTCCTTCCTCCTTGATTATATAAAAGGAGTTACTTTCTGCAGCTGGTGCAGGTTGAGCAGGGTTAGGAAAGGATTTTATTTATATGCCAATCAGTCTGCGACAGACGCCTGGAGCACAGGTTTGAGAAGGATCTGGTGGCCATGTCCAGATCCAGCTAGAACCTGTGCCATGATGACATTTACCCTGGTCACGGAGGGGAGAATGGTGGCATCTGAACACCCTGGATTTAGTGGCTTACCCTACTGCCTCAGAGAAGAACCTCTGCTTCTTAAAAACGCTCATTTGATCTTTCTAACATAACTGTGAGCGGAGCTATATTACACCGGCATCAATTGCAGAATTATATCTGAGGTTCAGGAATGAGCGTCCCTGAAGGCAATGACTCAGTCCCCCTGGGGAGGGCGTTTCCTGTCCAGGCTAGTCCTAGGACAGTATGTTTAGTTTGAACACTGCCCAACTGATCCTGAGATTTGGGCCCAGTGGGAGATTCAGGTCAGAACTCCTACAACTAGCAGCCCCTCCTGCCTCACATCATTGCCACCACCACCAGAGGCCAGACTCTGGAATGGGGGTGACGTATGATGACTGGCTGGGCATCCGGAATCCTAGGAAACACGGCACATTCCTAAGATTAGAGTTGAAGCAGTCTCCTAGGCAGAGGCCAATCCAGAATCAGTGTATCTGATCCTATTGCGTTATTTCCCTGCATAGCTTCGAATTTCAAAAACAAAAGAAAGAAAAATAGAGGAGGAAGTCTGGGCTCTTTTCTTTCAAAGTCATACCAAAACTGGAGCCATCAGAGGAGTCAGAATTGTATACAAACATGTTCTGTTGGCATTTGGCAAAATGCATGTGCTGTTGGCATTTGCCAAAGCTCAGAGGACAAGAGGGAGCCAAGGAATTAAGTCCTCTTAGAATGATCAGGAAATGCCGCCCCACAAGACTTCACCGTGTGCTGCTAAGTTTGTGTAAACTTGGTGCTTGAGGTAAACCACATAATTAATGGCTATGAAACCACTCCCCAATTATTCCACATGGCCAGGATCCTGAAGGACAGGCATCTGGTAAAGGACATTGTGGCAAACGGTCTCCACAGCACTTCTAAGTTCATACCTAGAAACCTTGGGAATTAAAGTACATTCTCGACCATCCTGCCGGGGCAAGAAATCACAAGTCTTTAAACTTGTGAACCTGTAAGGACAATGATGAATTGTCTTTTTTTTTTCTTTTTTAAGATTCTGTTACTCTGCTTCAGGTGGATCTGTTAATATTTAAAAAGATTTATTCTCACATGGGCAAACTGGTCCATATAATAAGCAGGCTATTAAAATTTTTAACTTTTCTGCCATTTTTACATGAATGTCTCTAACATTATTCCCTATACATATTCAATGGTGGGGGGTGAGAGGGATAGTAAGAATGATGAAACAAGTTTGAGAAATATAGCCCACATCTTCAACAGCCTTGACCCATGTTTGCATACGATCCAATCTGGCAGATGTACCAACCTTCTGAGTCAGAGGTAAAAGACCCATAATTGGTTGCGTCGTCTCCTAATTGTCTCTTAAATTGCAGTTCACATAGCAATGGACATGAACTTGAATATCTGTGTCTGACGGCACAAGGTTTAGGTTATACATGGATGTAGCAAAATGTTGCCCGATCCAATTTCTCAATTTTTTTCCAGACCAAGTGTTTAGTGGGTTGGGGCCTATTTGTAACAGAGGAATTCAGGCTGGACAGTCATGTTTGAGCACATGGTATTTGAGCGGTGTACTCACCCCAGGTCACATTCACTGCCTGGTCTCAGGGACAAGGTCAAAGGCAGAACTCTTCAAAGGTCTGCCAAACATGTCTCAGCACATTGTGCTCAAAGTGGTCTTGTTCATCTTCAGGATGGAGTTCTCGACACTGTCAGTCACTCCTTCACCTGGCTGCCACTTTCACACTTGAGCCTATTTTCTAGAAGAAAAATACAAGTTTTCAAACTGCAATTTCATTACACCACATTCCAGATGTTTCAGGTAGACTGGATGAAAACACAAGTATATAGATCACATGCAGTAATGGGTGCTTTCAAGTGCTTCAGAATGGCACCAAGCATAAACCATTCAACTTTTGCACGGCTAACTCCACCTCAATTAAGTGACCTCTGGTTTTCTAAACCACCTGTGACCCCTGGACAAGAGTCCCACAAACACTCTCTGGTTTGTAGTCAGGATGGAGCCATCCTGGAACCTGGGTGCTGCCAGCCCAGCAACTGAGAGAGAGGTGGGCCCAGTTTGAAGCCCTAGAAGGGTCAGGTTGGGTGGTCAGCCCGTATAAGACTTTCTAACACGAGCTTAGGAAAAGGCAGTCGCCTACACACAGGCAAACCCATAGGCACAGCACCTGACAAGTAGACAACTGAGTGTTGTCTACAGGAGGAAGCCTAATAGCCAGTGCCACCTCCCACATTGATTTCTTCCTCTGCCACGAAATGACCATCCATGTTCTCCATGTGGCTGCTCCACCAGCCTAGATCCCAGAATGAAGGTGACAAAAAGACACACTACAGATGCGTAAGCAAGAAACACACGTGTTATTCTATATCACGGAGCATTGGGAGCTGTTTGTCACGGCAACATAACCTAGTAGATACACCGTAACCTGACTGAAACACCAGCCCTTTATAGGAAAGATTTTGGGACATTAAGCACTATGGTAAATGTAACTGTAGAAGAAATCTGGGCT